GACATAACTCAGTTTGACTCAGCAAAACTCAGCTTGGCTAGAGTACCCAAAACTGGCAAACACTCTGGCGTCGAGGTAGTGGCAGTCACCAGCTTAAGAGTCCTCCGGTAATGAGGCAACCATCCGCAGGTGTGTGAGGAGGCCAACGAGAACTAGGCGCCACCTGGTGGTGGAGGGAAAACAAACAAAAGCACAACCCACACAAACTGGATTCCTAACAAAAAGCAGCATTTCCCTGCTACATTTATACATATTTTATAAGCACTACACACACTAGATGCTGTTTATCAGTGTTTGAAGCATCACCAGCTCTGATGAATGTGGAATTAGACTTTTTTTCCACTTTAAAAAGGTTTTCATTTGAACTCAACAGCGACTAAGACAGAAGGTAAATACGTCCCTATTTAACCAAATATAGTCTAAATATGTCTGTTATATGTGGATTTATCCAGTATTTTCTTTTAAAGATATAGAATTGTGCATAGGTAAAAAGAGGTAAAACACTGTCGTATCTTTTATATGCTTTCTTTGCATCATGCTTTCTAATTGTGAAGCAAAGCAAAATAATACATTCAAGGGACGGCAAATAAATGTATTGTATTTACATGTGCACTGGAACTATAAGAGGAACCGACACTGAGCATTTAAAATATTAACTTCACTATACAAGTTGGACATCTGGGCTGTAGTAACTCTGTGTAGCTCATTTCATGTATTTTTTTCTATGGCTGAAACAATGTATCACATTAATCAATTATTTGAATAATCGTCAACAGATTTAGTATTGATTGATTTATTGATTAATCGTTAACTGGAGTATAGAGACCCTAAAACGTAAAGTAAATGTAAAACCTGCCTTTAGCCGACCGAATGACCCACTTGGACCAATAATTATGCCAAAATTGTGAAAAAATATATAAACGTATTGCATGTTTTTGTCTGTCAATATTCCCCATCTAGAACTCTTCAAGTGGAAACGTTTTCTTTAAGGAACCTTTGGCTATCTGATTATCAATCGAAAAAATTATCGAGACATTAATCGATTTGCAAAATAATCATTTGTTGCAGCCCTAATTTTATGGTTACATTCCAAACACATAGAGATAACAGCCAACCAAACTAACATGTTAATCAGGCGAACTATACTAAAATTCACGTGGCATCATTTGTGAGCTCCAACACAAAACACAGAATCCAAGCCACGTCCCTCTCTACCTGTGCTGCAACATCACCACTCATTGTTTGAGTTCCCTAAATTCAGCCATATCAAATACGGAATGATATTTATGGTGTATATAAGAAATTGAAATTAAAATCCTTTAGACATCACCTGAAGCACTGAAGGGCCAGCTGCTTCACCTTCAAGCTACCCTGCATCATTATTACTGGAAATCTGATTCCTATAATCATATAATGTTACTATTATACAAGTGTGTTATTAATATTAAATATTAAACATAATACAACCTTTTATATCATCCCATGTTACTTACTGTCTGACTGTTAAAATAGCTCCTTGTGTCTATTTTGTTTTTAGATTTTTTGCTGGCATCATCTACAAAGCACAATACTAAGAATTCAAATATAAAATCACTTTTATAAAAGAAAGCATAACACTATCTTATCTGTAATGTAATAATATCCAAATTAAGCAGCCAGATTCAAGCATTTCTACCAGACACTAATGTATAAAGTCAATGTAAATAGTCTTCCTTTATTTATCTTCATCCTATTTCTAGAAGTAGAAATAGATAATTAAATAGCACTATTTTTATGAGAAACCGTAACTATTCTTTCTAAACAAAATATAGCACATGTTTAGATGCATCCAAGTTAGACTCCCTTCAGCGCTGTCAGATGTTTTTTTAAAGTGACCATGCAATCCAACAAACTTTCTTTCCTCTTGATAAAGACGCTTTATTTTCCAAAAAACAAACTTAGAATTTCTTCCCGCAGTATGACGTGACAGGCAGATCATATCGGCTCATTTCGTCCCTTTTTATGCCATTAAAAAAAAAAACAATAATCAATAGCATTCAAAAACTGTATGGCTGAATCCAAGAACTCACCCGGCCCCAATAGGGGCCAACTCCAATATATTCTAGGTGCTGTAGTCACCATTCTATAATAATATGCACAGCAGCAAAAATACAACTAAACAAATTCATTATTTCATCATTAAGTCAACTCTTACTTCGAACCAAAATATTTCATGTTCACATATATCATACCAAATCAGACAAAAATAGTAATCTAGAAATAATAAATATTCAATCATAAATCAAGCATTTGGGTCCAACAGTTATTATACTCTATAAAATAAATAAAACCTGCCATTTATACCTTAACTGCCTCAAAAAGTTGTAAAAAAAAAAAAATGAAAACAGTAACAAAGAAGTATTGGTAAAACGAAAACCCTCACATTTTCTTTTTCAGTCAGCTGTGGCTAAGAGTCAGCATTTTTGAAAGCTTACAGTCTTTCCTTGGCCATTTTACCAGCAGTATTCAGAACTCCTATCTGACTCAGAATATTATGTTTTATTAAGGAAAACAAAGGTTTTTGTTGATAAAATGAATTATACTTCAAAATCAAATATTATTTTGAGATGCTAACGTCAGTTTCACAAATCAAAACACTCTCTCCTGCTTCTTTACAGAAGTGGAATCAGCAGCTTTTAGATGATATTTAGTTTTTCTAATTGGGACTAGTTTGGTACCCTAATATTAATTGTAGCAACCGCGGTAGTCAATTTTTTTTTTTTATTATTCTGCGCCCCAAGCACACACGCACGCAATTCAATTCAATTCAATTTATTTAAATAGCCCCAATTCACAACACATGTTATCTCAAGGCACTTTACAGTTCAACCAGATCATACAGTCAATAGATTCAAAGTTTTCTATCTAAGAAAAACCAGTTGATTGCATCGACTCATTGACTCGGGTGCAATCCCTCACGCTAAGCATGCTTGTAGTGACAGTGGAGAAGAAAAACTCCCTTTTAACAGGAAGGGACTTGAAAACACAGACTAGAAAACAAACAATCAGAAAGAGAAGGTGGAACTTAAAGCAATGAAATCAGAGAGGATTTATGTGTGTTGCTAATTTAAAGGGACAGGGAAGACAGGGCAGCAGCAGCTACTAGGCAGAGGAGCTGCGAGAGGAAAAGAAGCGACTGCTGCAACAACGCTGTATTGTCAATTATAAACATGTTATTCACACGGAAATATTGGTAGGGCCAATTAGGTCGGTCCAAAATGTTGGTACCGATATGTCCCTATAGTCCCTATGGAAACCTACGGCCATGCAGCCAAAAAATCACAGCTTATAAAGAAAAGCTGAAATCAGAGTAGTTCCTCTTGTTTATACTTTACTGGTTGTTCCTCTTAAGCTGTTTTCAGCTAAATAACACCTGCATTACCTGAACTATCTCTTTCTCTTCTTCTTGTAATTGTTTTTCACTTTACAGGTGGTACATCAGACTTTCCAGGGGATAATAAAGAATATTTCTATTCTTACACACGTGCAGCATTAAGAAAAACAGTTGATTATCAAAATATTAATCTAATATTCTTTCTTCTTTACTTATAGAATATCAGATGTCAGGGATGGTAAAATGCTCTCAAGACAAATACAGCTCAGTATTTATGCAAAACTGACTACATTCTCAAGAAAAAAGAAAAAGAAAAAACACAGAATAAGCAATATGAATGTGTATTTGAATTTGCCTAGAAAATATGTTTTCAGATTCCTAAACTAGAACTTTAGGCTAAATTAGGATAGGAAACTGCCAAACTAAAAAATGAACCAAATGAAAAATGTATATGGACACCCGGTGTTTGCATGCCAATAATTTTACCCAGATGTGACACTGACATCAATTTTCAGCATGCAAAACCTCTTTGTGCAAAAAACCTTGGCTGCTAAAACTGACCCCTATTCTTCTAAGTGCCTTTCTTTGGGGGTTTTACTGTCTTGCTTTCACTAGAAGAGGCCTCAGTTGAGACTTGCACCCTGACCTTGAATGTCACTTGGTAGTGAGACATTTGTTCTTCCCTTTTGATGGTTGGATGACTGGCGATATAAAATATATAATATAGTATTTAAAAAAATAAATAAATAAACAAAAGAAGGGGCATTAAAATAAATTACATTAATCAGAAAAGGCCTAAGTCTACCTCCTCAAACACAAATATTCGGTAGAAAAATAATCGCATATTGATACCAGTTTAATAACACTCCAGCTGCCTACGAAAAGGGTTACTAATAATGCAACACTAAATCTGTGTGACAGAGATAGAAAATATTGGCTGTAACAATTTGTTAGGATAATTTGTACAGGTCAATTAGAACCAGAAAATTATCAACTTTTCAAAAACTTTTCCTTTTCATCACAACCACAAACAAATATACTTCAGATAAGTCAAAATTGTCCTTTGAAATGGAAATGGTTCATCAAATGAAATATTACTTTTGTATTTAACAGCCTTTACTAATCCAATATGTATTTAAAGTAGTTCTGTATTGTAAAGGCTTTAGGGTTTAAGAACATTGTAAATCAAATAGCACCAAGGATACTAAAGGAACTAAACAGGGTGAGCTAATAAAATACCCAATTTTAAACATTTAAAGGAATAGGAATATGACATAATTGCAACCCTGCTGAGATATGTGGTGAGTAAACGCTTCAATCGTGTCCAAACCTCAATCCAATTAAGAATCTGTTATTTTTATCCAATTGGAATGAGTGAGTTTTTTTTTTTTTCAAGATTCAACAGACCATAGTTTTACAATGTACAATAAACGTATGTTGAATACAAATGCACGCCACACTTTTCAGTTTTCAATTTGTGAATAAAAGCATGAAATAAGTATTAAGTATTTTCCTTTACAATTACAAGTCCGGCAGAACAGAAGAATATGTCCGCAGAGTGACACCTCCCTTTTCTTCAAAAAATCTTTGCCGTCTTGGCAGCCGTTGCTATGCTCCGCCTCTCTATGCAGATCCGGAAATTAACAATCCCGTGATGTTAGAGGAATGTTAGCATAGCATCGGAATGACTGCAGTGCCTCCTCCTCGCTACGCATCTTCTACCAAACCTTCACACTGTCAGTTAACAGTTTAGCTCCGCTCTCTTCTATAAAGCATGAAGCTACAGCAGTGTAACGCTGCCGGACCTCTGTATCCCTCCGCTCGGACGGTAAAGACATGAATCCCACCACCGGACCTGACGGACCCGCTATGCTAGCCCCGCTGGAGCCAGAGGTCGGACTCATGAACCGTGCAAGCTAACAGGCTTGTCGATAAAGAATAGAGGTGAAGGAAATTACTGGAGACAGGAGCGCGGATATGTCACGGTTTGTTTTGGAAGAGTTGTCCGATTTCGGAGACTTCTCTGGAAACCAGAAGCTGAGTGAATTGCTAAGTTTTTCTAACGATGAGCGCAGCAGGAGCAGGCTGTCAGATGTTCGTGTGAGCCCAGATGGACGTCACATCCATGTCCTCCTCCGCCAGCCTAAGGTTGGTCTCATGACTTTTGACAGGCAGGAAAGACCCCAGCTGGCTCTCAACCCGAAGAAGTTAGATGTGTGGTTGAAAGGCGGGCACCCCATAGTGGACGTTTTCTACCTGGACCTGAACAGAGCCAAGGGGGCGGGAGCTGTTGCTGTGGTCGTTTATGAGAATGGGAAAGCAGAGTTTTGGAAATTCCTGGAGTGCAAGACCGGCTGGCATCTGCTGCAGACCTCGGATCTGTGCAACAGCCCCCGGGCCAGAGTTGTGTCTGTGAGCGCCTGCTCCAGCATCCTGGTGTGGTGTGAGGAGCGACCGGCCTCAGAAAGCTCTCCTGTCCTCAGCTCCTCCAGGAACAAGCTGAGATACTGCGTCTGCAGACGGGACTGGGAGGTGGAGGATGGAGCGGTGAGCCTTGGAGGGCTGAAAATCATCCTGCACAATAATCCTAAATATACGGTCATCAGCTCAGGGGATTATGTTCATCTTCTGCCTTATCTAAAAATCAAATCGCAGCTATGCGTCTCCAAATTCTTCCTAACGTGGTCTCCTCACCACGATTCCTTCACCATCAACACCTTGTGCAAAAACACCCCAATAAAGAAGCTTTCAGCCAAAGAATCAGACTTTAGGCGGCTGGTTACTGATAGTTTGGGATATTTATCGGACGTTGAGCCTCCAGAAATCTGCAGCTTTTCTCCTACAGGCTGCGGAGGCCTGCTGCTGCTCCTCAGTACAGGCTGGCTCTATCTCCTGCAGAAGGACGGAATAATGCGACAGGTGTACAAGCTGGCTGAAAACTTTATGCTTCAGGACTCTCACATCAGCCTGTGCATGTATGCAGACACCGTGGCACTAATAGCTGGGAAAACCCTGCATCTCTTAGAGTTGAACTGTGGTAGAGAGCTGCAAAAGGTTGCATTAAAGAGAGAGGGGTTGTTATATGCAAACCAGACTGAAAGAGGGATTCCTCATCTGCTCTCAGACACTGGACTTTTTATGCTTGTGGAGAAGGACCCTACAGGGAAGCCTCTTGGTTCTGGTCCGGTGGAGGGTGTGCATCCTGGAGCCCTCCTGGTTGAAGCCGTGTTCGAGGAGGCCTGCAAATACTACCAGCAGAGGAGCCTCAGCAGCACGCAGCTCACAGTGGACATCCTAAAGAAAGGGGGGCGGTTCCAGGCTCCCATCTCTTTAGCATCTGTGCTCAGGAACTATCTCAACTCAGGGTTGAGGAGGAATGACACAGAGGCGATACAGAATGGAGCAGATGAATATATTGCTGCACATGAGAAATTAATGTGCTCCCTGGAGGGCGAGCTCAGGGCTCTGGTCTCTCTTGAGGAGCTGAAGGGTAGTTTAGTGAGGGGGAGCGTTAAAGAGGTGGAGGCGGTGTGTGAGAGTCTGGTGGAGAAGGAGGTGGTGAGGTTGCTGTCGTCACCTGAGCTGAACAGAGAAGCATTGCTCTACCTGAACTCCATCTTCAGCATCTTCCCCAGCCAGGCGTGGAGAGCTGCACAGGCAGCGCTGCAGCTGCACTACAACGGGGACGGCTCCCTGTCCAGCAAGGCCTCCACAGATGTGTGGAAAACAGTCCTCAGTCCGTGTCCAAACTCCTTTCTGTTTGCAAACGGACAGTCAAAACACAGCCACAGTCTGAGAGGCGATTTCAACTGTAAGGTCAAACCTGCAGCTCCCACCTCCCCTGCTGCTCTGCCTGTGTTTGAGCTTCTCTGCCAGTCGGTCTTTCACTTCCAGCCCAGCTGGCTGCCGAGGTTTTTGGAGCTCTCCCAGCAGCAGCAGGGCTCCGCAGTGTTGGGACTGAGCCTGGTTTCTTCCTCCTGGGGCCTTTCCGGTGGGAGAGGAGGGGAGGGCGGGGAGAACAACGTGCCTCTCTATAAGCGAGCGCTCTGGGTCCTGTCCAACCTGAATCCAGATGGAGATCAACGCCAGGAGCTGGAGGTGGAGCTGCTGCTGGTCAGTGGGCGGCCCAACGCCATCCTGCAGGCCCTGAGGATCCTCATGGGCAAGCGTCAGTGGGAGAGGGTCACCCAGGTGGCGCAGCAGTTCTGCAAACAGAGCCCGCTGCTCAACAAGGAGATTTTCACCTCTCTGCTGTGCGAGGTGGCTCAGCACCGGGAGCTGGACCCGTACCTGGAGCTACTGTGGGCTTTATGCCCTGAAGACTTCACCGTCACCACTATCCTCAATCTGGTGCTCAAAAACCTTCCCTCCAGCTGCAGCGCCTCACCCCACACCCCTTTTGCAGACACCCACAGCAGCCAGCTAACCATAGGGCACCTGAAGCCGCTGCTGAGAAAAGTTCTGCAGAGGGAGACGAAGCCCAGCCAGCGCTACGCCGACATCCTCCAGTCCCCTTCATACCCGCCTCCCGCTCTTCCCCGTCAGCCCGCGGAGCAGGCAAGCTCCATATTCAATGGGAACGTGGACTCTTCGCTGTCTCTTCAAGCAGAAACAGATGAACACACACCGCCTGCTAACACAAACACTCAGAGGTGCGATGCGGTTCTGGCTGCTGCCCCGGTTGGATTTACATGAAACTGTACTAAGGAGGGAGAACTAAACGTGTCCAAACTGAATGTCTTACTTTTAGCACAAAAAAATATGAAAATGTTGAAGATTCATTGGTGTATTACCTAACTGACGAAACTGAGTGGCTTTTTAAAAGGTTGTCAGTTGAAATCTGAAAAGTGAAATCTATAAAAATGACTACTGAAGATCCTACGAGTGTAAATAATCCCGTTTAATCCTTTGATGTAAATACAAAATCCCCCAAATTATTTATGTTTTAAACCTTCGCAGCATAGGAACAAGACTGTTCTTAGCACCAGCCTATTTAATACCATCCTTACTAAATTAAATTAATAAAATGTATTGTAATAAGACAATAGAACTACTTGAGAAGTAACATTTACTAATCTGCTGAATAAATAGTCTGGAAAACATAGAACAAGCTAATTAGACAAAACCTTTTTTGTTTTACTATTCTGCCTATTTAAAACTCCCCAAACTGAAAATGTTTATATTGATCTGATATAATGTCATGTTATATTTATTTACTTTCATTTATACAGGTAATCTCATCCCCTTATTAGTGGATATTAACTACCTACACCTTCCCAAGCCTCACGCTGTTGTTACCGTCGCTGTTTACTCGATGTCCTACGCCAATGCAGCTAAAGTTAATTTAACGGCTAAAATATGATTAACTTTTGGCTTTGAATTCCTCTGAGCATCTTGTCTCTTTTTACAAACTTCCTGCGATGAGACAGCAGCCCACTACAGGTGAGCGAACTGCAGCATTTAATATCTTAACAAAACTATGCCTTAAAAAGAGATGGCCGCCACTCTGAAAGCTTCCTTCTCCTACAGGGTTATTTATCTCTTTAGCCTTAGCATATACTGGTGTCAATGTGTTCAGTAAATATAAGTTGTATTAGCAAATATGCAGTATTTTATTTAAAGAGCAGCAGGTTCAAAAGAAACTAAACAAAGAAAATGCTTTTAGTTACAGCTGAGGTTAAAAGTGTTTGTCGTTTAACCTGGTAGGGAAGATCTACTGTGAGTCTGTTTTTGTTTGTTCAAAACAAGGTGGGGTCAAGGTCCTTTTGCTGACTTTTAGTTTCACATTCAATATGAAACTTGTTTAAACATTAACTGGGCTTTAGGGATAACCGACCTCTCCTTTTGCTATCTTCCATTTTCCTCTCCAGGCTCCATTTTGTCCCCTCTAAACCCAACTCACGGGACATTCCAGACTAAATTCCCAGTAAAATTGACTCACATTTTGGACTTTAAATTCAATTTCAGCACTAATCTAGTTGGGATTCAAGCATGTGTGAGTCCCTGCTGCGTATGCCGTCCTTCATGGGACCAATGAGGATAATGTTATTAGAGATGACAGGCCTTTTTTCACTCTTTTCTCTGCACTTTTCTGTCACACTAGTCGGTACGGTTTGATCTGAGCTGTGGATGCTTCTGATTATATTAAGATTTTGTGTCTTTTAAGGTGTTTCAGTTGTTTATGCAAATGAAAACTGATTGGAAAGATTGTGTTTATCTTATTTTGTAAATGAATATGGAAAGATCCATATTTTTATTTATTTTGAAGCATACTTTTAAAGTCTACTGAAACTGTCTATGCTCTGTGTGGGGGAGGCCTGTCCCTCCTATATGCTGAATGACAATCAGAGTCGGTTGGTGCCTTTCAGACTGGTGTCACATTTCTGCTGCATCTCCTGAGGGAGAACCAGCAACACAGAACCTGATCTATGTGACCTCCTCCTCTCCTCACTTTTTAAATTTGCTCTCAGATTCCTCACTGTAGTGTCTTGATTTTAACAAGCGTGATAGAACCTGTCTGCTGATCTCAGATCAGTGTGCTCCCTGACTTCCCCCACACAGGTCGCTCAGACTGACTGCTGGATGTTAGATGCTAAATCTGCCTTAAACTTTTCTGCTTATTTTAATTCCTTGTTTGTATCAATCACTTTGGCCAGTTATCACCAAAGGACCAGAGTTAAACAAGTTTAAAGTATTTATCAGCATATGTTTCTATGCTATTAAAAGTGAAAAGTACATTTCTCTCTTGCCACCTGAAAGTTGTCCTGTCCTTTTTTGTTTGAAAGCAAGATGTTTAAAATTTCTCTACTTCATTTGCTATTGAAAACCATAAATTTGTCCCAATAATATACTTCTGTTGTTGGTTATGTGGATAAATAGATCAAATACAAATTATATTAAAAAAGATGAAGAGGTTTTGAGAAACAAGGAACAGATTTATCATGATAAATAAATTATTGCAAGCTGTGACCTACAGAAGCTCTCTTGATAGAATATTGTATAAATAAATATGGTGAGTCATTTATTCCTCTTAGGCTTCATTTTTGCTTGTAGCTAGTATAAACCCAAAACCGAGTTTCTATGTATTACTAAGTGTTTCCACTAATAAGAGAGAGATTTGTCATCAATTCAGAGACTTGAAGTTTGGATCTTAGTAGTCATAAGCTGTGGGACCCGGGCTACCTGGAATAGATCCTTCATAGGCTGTGAAAACAAGGAGGCCTGAAGAGTTAAGCTGTGGATTCAAACAGGTCCAGCCTTCTCCAGTTGTCAGCATCCCTTACTGGCATAGCTCTGTCGCCTAGCAACCGGGACAGTTGCAAAGTTGGCTTTCAATAAACCAAACATTACCCGTGGCATATCTGACTCACTATTTAAAATTACTACTTTCATTAATTTAAGACCAGCCTATTCACATAGTTTTATATTAAACTTTACTTTTAATATTCACAAATGTTTTTCACCTTTTTCCTCTGAGCACGGAGAAATTGGCTTGCTTGGACTCGTAACGAATCACGGGATATGAAGGATATATCGGATCTGTACTTCCAAACGGGTGAAAAGAAAGCTGCACAAGAAGGAGTCTTTGAGTCCGAACAGGCCACGGCGCAGCGCAATGATGTAATCGGCTGACAAATCTGGCCTTCGGAGGACACAGCTGCCGGATTTGTACACAAACGTTTGTGTAAACTTCTGGCAGAAAAGGGAAGCCAAAAAAGAAAATCCAAAATATACAACATTCTGCAGAGCCTAGCAATGGACCGTTTAGTAAAAGGAAGTAAAGTAGATAATTCAGGAACAATTTGTTGTTTTTCTTTTTGATTTATGTCCCCACTCTTAAAAACAAAAAAACTTGACAATCCTCAAAGCTCTGGTTATCCATTTCGCTTGTATACCTATTTTTCTACCTGAGTTTTTCCTTCCACTTAACTTTCAGAAATAAAATATTACTTATAAGGAAAAAATATTAAATGTCATGCTATGGCCCAATAGTCCAGCAGGCAATTATTAACACTGTCTACAAGGAGGGGAATCCACAAGATGTCAAAATTATTCTGCCAAGCATAAAAATGGAAAGTTGGATGGAAGGTAAATGAGGAAAAGATTTCTGACTAAAGGCATCGTAGGTGTCATACAAATGTCCCCCAACTTCCTTTGTTCTACGGTTGTATCAGAGATGCATCTAATCTTTTTTCCTACCACTCAACTCTCAATAAAGTAACGGACAGACTACAGCTTTTTATTGTAAGAGGCTTTTGTGGTTTACTCAGGAGGGTTTCATCGCCTCTCTACTGGACCAGACTCTTCAGTTGTCTCCATGATGGTGGAGGCTGCAACATTTATGTCTGATTCTGGGAGGTTTTCAGTAGCTGAATTTCACACGATAATTTAATGAAATATATTACTTAAGAAACAATAATGTTGGGAAATATTTAGAATTGAATTGCTGAAATAAATAATTTTTTTCAGTTATAATGTCTTAAAAACACCTATCATAATTGTTTTTACTTTAACAAGCTAAAGTGTTGCTTTACCACAACAAGCCTGGTTGTTAATATAAACCCAAGTACCGGTATTTCTGGTTTGCTCTTATCATTTCAGGATAATCAGAATATTAAACTATGAATATTAAACCCTCTTCCAGCTCCAGTATTTCCATACTCAGCATTATTTTTAATTAATAAAAAATTAATTTAATAAATTTTATTTTAATTACACTTTTAGATTCATGGCTAACTAGGACACTGGTTGCACCTGTGGGGCTCTCACAGGTAAACTCCTGCTTCTATGTGAAGGAGTGAAGATGCAATCACAGCAGCAGAGTCACGGTTTGGAGTCAGGCTTATATTGTTTTGCCTTGACTGATTCATTCTAACTATAGCTCCCACCGTTTAAACACTAATGTATCTAAACCATGGCTGGTTTTCTGCTCTCTGCTGCTCCCTCCTCGCTTTGTCTCAGAGTTGCTGGAAATTCTTAAAGAGCAGCACTAATTGATGCACTGTAAGAGGGATTAATCCATTACAGCACATGTCCATCACATGGCCAGTTATTGTGCAACAAAGCTTCATCACCTTAAAACTAAGATATATTTGACTTAGAAACATATTTAGACTATAGATTTGGTTGCTGCAATGCTTCCCCTGGTTTGATCTATCATGGATCATTATATTATAGTTTGTTTTTTTCCCCTGAAGGTTCTTACTGTATTTCCATATTGACTGACACAACATTCCTTATAGAAAGACGCTATGGACAGAAATGTCTAATGCATTATTGATAACAGCTTTAGGGCTTGAAATCTCTATTAAAGTGTAACATTTATGTACGTGCTGCTGTAACTTTGGAAAAAAGGGGCCGGTTCTGCAGGAGTTTTCGATGACAATGCCGACTGTTTTCATTAAGGTGTTTGAATCTATTTATTTTCCCTATAATATTACACCTATAGATCTCATTTATGTAAATATCAAAACTTGTTGCTATGATTCCAACATATGAACTCAGACTGAACCTCATATCACAGGATTTCCTTCAAAAAAAAATTTTCTTTTTCACATTACATCCAAAAAGTTTAACATTTCTTGGAATGCAATGTGATAACCAACAAAAAGTTGTACATTTTTGTTAAATTATTGTCCATGGTATAATCTGGATTATTATTATTTTTTTGCCCATTTTTTTCAGACTTAAAAGGGCCTTGTGTGAAGTTTCATTTATTGGTCTTGTAACTCCTCTTCAAGCAGATTTGTCTGGACTTTTACTAGGCCATTCTGGCACATAACAATGCTTTGATCCAAAGCCTTTCATCGTAGCTCTGGTTGTGGTGCTGGAAGGTAAACCTTTGTCTATTTTATTTTTTTACTATTTCCATCTGCAAATATTGTTAAATAAATTATATTTTAACAAATTTCCTAAAAGCATCCTCTATATGTTCCCAGTTGCCCTTAAATCACTCTTAGATAAGGCTGAGAAAGTGATTAGCTAACTAGAAAAAAAAAATCATGCACCAAAGAATGGTATCTTTAAAATGATCTGTCTACCTTCTTCTGAAAGGCCTGCTTTTCACATAGTGACTCACACAAGTTTTAATGTTACTTTTCTAACCTATTGCAGTAAGCAGCAGCTATTGCTTTGTTAAACGAGCACAATTGCTTCAAAAACATGATAAATAAAAGATTAAAAACAGAGAACAAGATATATAGAGTTTTTGCATGACATAAGAGTATTATGAATGGTAGATCTCAACTGTTAACTGTTACAAACAAGACTATCATCACTAGCTTTTGTGAGCAAATCCTGCAATAAAAAAAGTCAAAGAATATTTGTCACATTTTTGCCGCATCAGTCCAAACCTTATTTCTTCGTTCTTCTTAATCAGACTGGGTGATAAAAGCTCAGGTGCATTGCAAAATTTACCTCTAGCTATTTTCACAATGCAGAGCCGTTTCCTGTCTAGTGAGGGAAATCGAAACCAATAAAGCAACTTATTAAATTTTCGATGAACACTGATTTTATTTACAATTTTTTTTTCAGATAGAAAGATTCCAAATATTCAAAAATTACATCAAACAATCATGTAAAGTGCTGCGTATCAAAGGAAAGGAATTTATGCTGCAGGACTATGAAACAAAAGTCACTCTCAATGACATGTTAATAACAACAAAGGAAATCACTACTCAGTTAAAAAAAAAAGCTATAATGATATTGTAAAGTAAAAAAAAAAAAACAATCTGCTATTCAATTAAGGTATTTTAATTTAAAAAAAACATCTGTTCCTAACTTTACTGTAAATAAAAATAATAATTCTCACAAAAAACTTGTTTCCCATTGGCAACGGTTTGCTAAACCTCTGTAAAAACAGATATGTGTGCTTTTCAATATTAAGGAAATGTGGAGCTGATTTCAGACAGGAAATATTGAAAAAAAACTAAACATAAAGGCCTCCATATATCACTAAAATCCCTCAAGATGGGTTTAAAACGGAAACTTATGTTGTATGAAATGTGCCGTTTAAACACAGTAGTTGGAGTCATCTCTTTACTACAGTGAAAAACCTAAGTTTACAAATGAATTCAAGTAAATATCCTCGTAAAATGTCATTTTTTCAGTGTGTTTACCCAGGTGACAATGTGCCACATCTGTGCAATGGTGCCCCGTGTGCTTTTTTCGTTTTTTTTCCTCGAACATTTGTGCCTGAAGATCTGTTAAGAGGCTTCAATCAAACGTCATCCCGTCTCAGGTGGGTTTTAGCTGAGCCCGTGGGATGTGGTTCATAATGATGGGATTTCTGGACACAGAGAAATGAACAGCAGAGTCAGGCTGCTTCTGTCACATGAATGGAGCATGAGTCCGGCTCACATTCACATTTTTTTCCTACTTACTCAAAGACATCCGTGTATTTCATCCTCCTGTAGTATTTAGCTAACTTCATGGACAAGATGATGCTGGGAATGAAGAACATCATACACCAACCCAGGCTGAACCAGAACGCATTCTAAAACACAAGAGAGAAAACATTGATGAAAAGAGAAAATAGGAATTAGTCATTAGAATAAAGAAGGGATTAAGGAGAAAGTCTGCTCTCCTCACCAGAGACTCCACCATGTTAACACAAAGGACAACATCAGCCGAGTCTATAGCTCTGGCGACAGGCTCGCAGCGGCCGACCTGCTGTGTGATCTGAGGAAAATGGATGCATCACAAGGAATTATTTACGGACACATCATATAAGAGACTACAGATAAAAGATTTGAAGAGCTCATTTTACCATAATCGTGGTCCAGTCAGCGTAAGCACTGAAGTAATCCACCTGACAGTTTAAAAACCTCCTGCTTTCCTAAGATTTGCAAAAACAAAATGGTTGGAATTCAATTTATCCAAAAATCAGTCAAACAAACCCTACAATTCTCATGAAAACCTGTGAGGTGGCCGATTATTCTCAGCAACAGAACTGGTTTAACTCTTGTTCAAGAAAGACAAACTCCTAAATGTAAATGTCTTTGTTTAAACGCGGTATAAAAAAAAAATCATCTTATGATCGATAAAAAGTAAGCGTTAATTAACAGAATCAAAGGTTTAGTAAACGGAAATCTGTTTTTCTATTCATCCAGATTCTGTTTTACTTTCTAAACCTGAGATCATTGGAGCAACATTACATTTCTGATCATTTATGCCCTCATCATACTTTTCTATTTGCCTTAAGGTTTACACGTTAGGGCATAATCCTAACTACACAGTTTTATATACAGGTTATCATTTTATGCCTTTAAATATTTAAAGGCTTGATCTTTAACATAATTATAAACATGCATCGGTCTCAGTGAAGACCCGATAATGACTTTTTTACCATTCCAAAAAAGTTTTTTTCCAAGTATGAAGATGTTGAAGACAAACTTTTGAACTTGGAAAGTCCAGTGGATCTTTTTTAACTTTTTTGGAATAATTATGACCTGAATGACTGACAATCTTCACCAGCTCATGTTACCATCTGCAAGTTCTTCATCTGTATCTGTTATGTCAGTGGCGTTAACTCCAGCTTCACTTTTCATTAATTCAGCACAGATGTCACAAGATTAGGTGTTTCTTACAATAATCCCAACTTTTACACACTCCGAATTATGCAACTAAACAGGAGCGGATGTGACAAAGGAATTACTGCGACTACACAAAACATAAGTTCTGATTTTTCCCTTCCTTATCCATAAATGCGTACATTTCTAATAAAATCGACATAAATGAGGATAAATTCAGCTGAACACGCAATATAATTAATGCCCAGCGGCTGTGAAGCCAACAAATGCACTGTTTCCACTACATACCCTTCATTAATAAGCTGCACCTCCCCCCTCTCCATAAACGACCCCGAGCATTAACAGACCACATGGAGAACATTTCTTTAGACTCATGTGACTCGAAGCTCTACTCACGGTCTTTACAATCTGGGTTGTATTTGTGTTGAGGAAGTCTTGTGCTGCTCCAACTTTGCTCAGCACCTCCTCCACTGTCCCCTGAAAGGACCAGAGAGAAAAAAAAAATAAGATCCACAATGAAAAATTGAGGAGAATGAATAAGCTCAGCTTCCTGCAGCCCCAGGTCTCTGTACTCACATTGATTTTTCCTGTGGTGGACTGAAGGCTCTTCATGGATGAATTCAGGTTGTTCTGAGAGGCAGAAAGCAGTGTAAAGGAATAACCCATACTTAGGAGGTGAAAAGGGAATAGGTGACAAGAGAGACGAGCTGAGTCCTCACCACTTGTGGAAAGATGGTTGTTTCTATGTCTGCTTGAATTTGCCTCAGTTTGGAGGCTTCCACCTTAAGCTCACCTTGTATTCCTGGTGGCTATAAAAAGACAGTTTATAAAAAAGATTTAAAAAAAAGTGAGGCATAAACAGAAACATGACAAACTTCAGCGTTAGGGTAATGAGGCTCACTTGAGTGTCAGCCAGTTGATCAATTTTATCTGCTGTTGAATTCAAATTGATGCTTGAAATGTCATTCAGCTGTTAGAAGAAATAAAGATTTGAAAAGTGAACAGGTTGCAGAAAGATGCATGTAATGACAGTAGATAGATAGGAAAGAGCCTCACCTGCTGTGTAACGGCAGTGCTGTTGAAATCAGTCGCCTCAGCAGCAACGTTTTGAAGCCCTTTTATTATTTCGGGACTCAGGAGACTGACTGAAGACAGAGTGATATCGGTCTTTTCAAACTCCTCTTCGATCTGTGCTGTGTACTGTGTGCATGAGAGCATTGTAGCAGATACTTAATGAGGGAAAAGGTAAAAATGTTATAAACTATAGAGAGGCAAGAAAACTCACCTTAGACACATTGAGCACATCTGCGAGGTCTACAAGTTCATGCAAGTGGAGTGTCGTCCACAAAGGTTGGTTTTCTTTACAGTCCCTGGAAAGGTTGACATCAAATATAACTTCCACTCATTTTAACAAATAAAGAGGCAGTTTTAGATATAACTGTTTAAGTCACTCTCGCCCGTAAACAGCTGGAGATAGGACCCCGCTTGGGATGAATGGATGTTTAAGTCACTCAAGGCGGAAAAGACGTAGGTATTTCTAGCATCAGTGACATCCTGGACAAGCCTCTGCTTATGCAAACATTTAAATATGACTGTTTTTATGTTTGTTTGGTTTTTTTGATCCCACAGAAAAGGATGACTGTGGAAGAAATATCTCTTACTGTCATCACATGCGTTCAAAGATTTTGAATTGGAAAAGCTTCATGCATGATCAGAAAACTGGTAAAAATAAATATACATATTTTAGTGTTATTTAATTTTGTTTTAGTGCAAGAAATAATAGAATTGTTGTTTTTTTATAATGAGAAGGAATCGTTGATAAATCTTACATTTCATTTTAAATAAGTTCTGTTAAATTTAAAATGAGCCAAACCCTGTGAGGAACAGCTGTGTCACTGTTGTATTGTGACTATTTAAACACTGCTATTCCACCTATGGATATGGTCCTGCATTAGAGCTGACCCAGTGTTGCATACCTGTAGATATCAGAGAGGTTGATGTCAGTCTTGAGTCCCAAAGCAGGGCCTAATTCCAGTTGTGGGATTAAACCCGGAGTGTCAAGAAACTGTAGGCAAGAAAGACAGCAAATCCGGGATATTCATCATTTATTTATTCTTGCACTGCCCTGAACTTTCCACATCAATGCCTTTTTCCACCATGTCTCTCCTATACTGTTTACATTCGATCACTGCTGCACTTTATAAATGAAAATGCTCATTTTCACTGCTAAGCTGCTGCTCATTCACTGTCGAAAAGCTGTATGTTACAAAATTTTGTTAAGTATACACTGTGATTACAAAATGACAATAAAGTTTGTCTAAGTCTGTATTCTTATCCATGGGCACATATTTTAATTTCTAAGTTTATAAGATGATTCAAATATTCCACAGAAAATCCTTTTTATCAATAATTTTATACTACGCCACCTAACTGCTCCTATTTCGCAATGATGAGGTAAAGGCAAAGAATGCACTGACAGGTCTTCTAAAACCAGAATATTTTGTTATTGTTTTTCCTCCATATGTGAACCATTGAAAGGGCTAAGAAACAGTTATTTGGATAATAAGATTATCCAGATGTCTGGAAGACAACAGCCATCTGTGGTATTTTGTGAAAGCCCATGAAAAGTTTTGGTTGTACCATTTGGAACATTCCCATTTCAAGACACTGTAATCCCACACACTGCAGTTTACAACATGAAAGGAAATATCCTCCTTTGGATTGTTTTGCTTTGATTCGTTTCAGAGTCTTTAGTTTGCTAAAGAAGAAAAGTAGAATCCTAAAATGCATCCCATAAGAGATGAGCCAATTCAAAACCAGAGGCCAAAGGTAACTGGAAGGGTGATAAATGATTTGAAATCTTCTTCTTTGCAAATAAAAATCTGTATTTATGATCAGCTCCGCCAAGTTAACACTGCATAACTTCTGATTTAAAATAAAAGTTATGTTATCAGTTTAGCCTTTAAGGTTTAAAGTTTCCATTCAGATTTCATTTTTAAGGATTAAAGAGCCTTTTAAATGTTTTCTCACGGTGTGTGTAAATATCTCTACCTTTAGCAGCTGGCCATTATGCCATGGTCGACAAATTAATGTGTACATATTTCCCCCCAGTATGAAGAGCAGCACCACCAGTATCATGAAGATCCAAGAGAAGAGGAAGCTGAACCCTGCGCCCCTGCAACCACATCCAGGTCAAGACGTTTAAAAACTCTCCAGCAGCTACATGAAAACAGCAGGATGATTCATGTTAGTCCGTCCGTCACTCACATCATGAAAAAGATGCCTCCGCAGTCTGAGGTGCAGGAGCGGTTGGCTGGGTCTGCCTTTGGGGACAGACCCAAAGGGCCCAGAACCAGACCCAGGATGTTACAGACCACCACCAGGAGGACCACGCAGCACAGGGCCACACCCACTGCCCATCTGAGGTCAAATGATTCAATAATTAGGGGATTTATCTGTTTTTTTCTTCTCTTTATCACTTATCTTGCTACTGTTATAGTTACCTGATATTTTCAAATCTTTGAACTTCAGGTGAAACTGTTTCAATCTGGTTTTGCACCTGGTCCAGAGTCCCTGTCACATCTCTTAAAGCTGATAGGTCCAGTTCATTGGAAACCTGTGAAATCTGGTTTTCTATTTCCTGCAGCTGCTGTTTGCTTTCTAAAACATAAAAGAAAAAGACACATATGCAGCCATTATTCATTTAGAGAAAATTTGCCATGGCGAATTTAATTTTCACTCACGTGTAACCAAATCCTCTGTCTCATTGGTCACCCTCTGAGGAATGGTGCTGTAAAACTTTTCCGCCTGTAAAACAATCAAAACAGGTTTTCTAAATATACCTCTGATGTGTCAGAGGTAGATCAGTGCTGTCATTGCCTTTTCTATCATAAAACTCAGTTTGCCGTGACCTAAAGGAACTGTTCCCATTTTAAACCTAATCAAAAACTTTACAACAAAGAAAAAGAAATTACTGTTTTCAGACCACTTGTGTTTGGATTGTTTTTTTACTGACCTCAATTATATTAGACTGGAGGTCACCTTTAATGACATCATCCACTGCAGACTGATACTCACGCAGGCTGGGGGCCTGGGGAGAACAAACATAAAAACATGTAGTACCTTACAGTAACAGAAGAGGGCAGCAGAGCACAAAAAGCAGCTAGAATAATGCCAGTATAGACAAGCTAGGGCAAAACCATGAGGGATATTCAGAGAGGAGGAGGAGAGGAAAGGAGATAGAAGAGGGGGGGTAGTTTAGGAGGTGGAGGGGAAAGGCAGCCTTCAGGCAGATCCGCAGAAAGATGAGGCTCCGTCAGTCAATGTCTCAGCTTGCATCAAACAATGAGTAATTTCATAAATCTTTTCTTTTTGTTTATTCATGAGAATCTGCCTAAGGGCAGAATCTCTGCAGTCCTGACTCATCTCTTCCATAAAACATTTCTGCTAACAGAACTGGATGTTCAGAACCCTCTTTTTTTTAAGTGTTCTTGTCAATAAGGCATTTTGGGAACCTAGAATTCACCAATTGAAGAAGATAAAAAATCAATAAAACACTTAATCAAAACCAGCACTTACAGATATGGTCGCATCCACAGTTAGTTCCTCCACTTCTCCTGCTAGGCTGCCACAATTAACACAACCTGGCTTGGACAGCGTCTTCTGGATCCGGCCTTTGAAGGCAGTGACGTTGGCCTGAATAATGTCTAAGCTGGACTGAAGTTGGGTCAGAGACGAGTTCAGCTTGTCCAGGAGGTCGCTGGTGTTCAAACTTTCTGCTCATTTAAACAAAAAACACACAGAGCATAGAAACTGTAGTACTTCTCTGACGGCCTCAGGTCAATCGAGGACAAGAGAAGTCACATTATAAAACATAATGTAAAACAACAGTTAAAAGGCAATCAACACTTTAATGACAAGTCACTTCAAATCAAAATGGAGGAATTGACAGTGATTGAAAGAGTGCATTGATCTTTAGGTCAATGCACATATTTGCATATTTGCAATGCACACTAACTCACATATTTCCATTTTGTAGCCTTTTACTAACACCACTGTGCATCTGTTTGTTTTTATTTGACTGGGGGGTGTTAGTAATCATGAAGATAACACACATAAAACTACATTTCAATGTAGATTTTAATTCAATTCTACCATATTTGATGAATACTATGATAACCTTGGTTTTTTATTTTGTCAAATTAAGGCATACTTATCAAGGACAAGTTAAAGGAATAGTACACCCAAAACATGATTAGCCTTCATTTTCTACTCACCCCCATGCTGAACAACACTCTGGAGTACTTTTTTGATATCTCAAATGCATCTGGAGATCTGGGAGGCTTCTTGCTGTCTGCTGACATTCAAATAATGGAGGTGCCCAGCGCCCGAGACAGAAAGGTCCATAAAAGTCCACAAAAAACCTGTCAATGTTCCTCCATACTGCTCGTCCAATGTATTCCAAGTGTCCTGAGTGGGTAGCGTCCAGAATTTACTCGAAAAGAAGTCATTTAGAATGTTTTTAGAGCATAAACAGTAGTGTATAGGATTTCCTGAAAGCGCACACATGCGCGTTCACGACGCTACGGAAGCCGGCAGACCAAACCAGATGAAAGTGCGCATTCAGCGTCTGCTCTGCCAATAATGCAAGCGTAGAAGAAGAAATGTGCTGTTTACCTGTGCAAAGAAAGAAACAACGAAAGAAAAATGTCTGAGGACTTCAGTGTTGAGGAAGAGCATGAGTTCTTTGCCGAGCTGAATGCGCTGGTTTGGTCTGCCGGCTTCCGTAGCGTCGTGAACGCGCATGTGCGCGCTTTCAGGAAATCCTATACACTACTGTTTATGCTCTAAAAACATTCTAAATGACTTCGTTTCGAGTAAATTCTGGATGCTACCCACTCAGGATACTTTCAATACATTGGACGAGCAGTATGGAGGAATATTGACACGTTTTTTGTGGACTTTTATGGACCTTTCTGTCTCGGGCACAATAGACCTCCATTATTTGAATGTCAGCAGACAGCAAGAAACCTCCCAGATCTCCAGATGCATTTGAGATATCAAAAAAGTACTCCAGAGTGTTGTTCAGCATGGGGGTGAGTAGAAAATGAAGGCTAATCATGTTTTGGGTGTACTATTCCTTTAAGGCAAGTAAATTGGAGTAAAGCCAATTAAAAACACATTGAGGTATAAATCTACCATTGATAGAATTATGCATACATTTAAAAAGTTATTTCTTCTTTCCATGAATGATTTCACTTAAACTTAAGGTTATTTTAAACAGTTGTTTGTATGAGATTAATCTGCTGCAATAAAATATTAATTTAATTTAGGGTTCAGCAAAACAGACATAGAAAATACATAGACGCAGCATTATTTTGTGCTGAGTAATAAATTTCTAGGAAAACTTTTACAACTGTCATTTATTTTATATCTGAGGACAAAACTGGATTAATTTGGGGTCCAAGACGCAGGCAGATAATAAACCGTAAATCAAAGTCACTGAGAAGTAGATGCTTAAATATCCACGCTGCATCCTAAAGAACCCATAGATCAACGTTATAAGAATCAGAAACGAAACAATGGGATTAATTATGCTCTGCACTGGAATCGGCTCTTTGTCGAGCTAAACCAAAGCAGCCACTCCACACAAAGGCTCAGTCAGTACACTTCTCAACTGTGTGGATATCAGGCCTTGCAGTAATGTTCAGTGGGAGCAGCTGACCAGTCAGAACTTGTCTTTCTATTTTAATCCTTAAACTGAAGATAAAAAAGGGGGGAAATGCCCTGCATTTATTTTGTCTTCCTTCATATCAGAGTAGGAAGCAGACGTGTTCATTTGCAAACATGAATCAATGCATTTGCATTTTCTGACCCCAGCCATGCAGGTAAAACAGGGAAATCATACCTTGGTGTAGAAGTTTGACCGCCTGCAGAGCTGGATTAAATGTTCCACTAAAGCGCTGTTGAATTTTCTCTCCCACCTGTTGTCCAATATCTGTAATATGTAAACATTTCAGCATGTTACAGATATGGCAATGCAGTGTTTCCTCTGAACTTTAGTAGTTCCCTTTTCTTACCGTTTAAGTTTCTGCTAACCGCCTGCACAGTTCTCTTGCCCTCATTCGTCACATCTTCCACTTGCTGACATCAAACAATGAAAAAGTGAAGTGTTAAACAACCCAAATAATTGTGAGATGAATAGAAAATTCCATACAGAACATCTGCACTTCTAAAGGTTAAAAATCTGAAGAGTGTGGTGTGCAGTTTTACTGCAGCAGTTTGGAGGCATGTTTCTACAAGTTAAGCATGTTTAAAGAGATAATGCCCAGAGATGGAGATCGTTTGAAGACAGCAACTTTAATGTCTGCCACTGTCTGTCTTGGATAAATTTGCTTGGGTTGAAACCATTGAATTGAAACTGTTCACATGTCCAATGTCAGTTTTGTGCCAACTAAAAAATTTTTATTTTGTTGTTATGTGACCAAAGCACCTTCTACCATATGTTTGACCCGTACCCTGCGTGGCTTGTGGCAGACCGCTAACTTGCTTTTCTGATTCAGTGGCTTTATTTTTGCTATTTTCCCATTAAAAACAAATTAGTGGACTTCACAACAGGGAGCTGTCCTGTTAACAGATTTTTTCCAAGTTCTAGTAGCTTGGTGGTCATGTCCTGTTCTTATCATTTTCAGATTAAAGGTTTATCTGTAATATGTTTAAAGCTGGTTTCCATTATAACAAACTGGACTAGACTCAAAACACTGAGGTTCTGTATAAGAAAGGTCAGATCAGACTCTTCCTGCTGAGGAGACTGAGGGCTTTTGGAGTGCAGGGGGCGCTCCTAAAGACCCTCTATGACTCTGTTGTGGCATCAGCCATCTTCTATGCAGCTGTCTGTTGGAGCAGTGGCTTATCTGTAGCTGAGAGAAAGCGGCTGGATAAGCTGATCAGGAAGATCAGCTCTATGATTTCCTCTGGACTCAGTGCAGGAGGTGGAAAACAAAAGGACTCTATCTAAAATAACATGTCTGTTGGAAAATGTCTCCCACCCCATGCATGAAGCTGTTGCAGAACTGGAGAGCTCTTTCATCCACAGACTGCTGCACCCTATATGCACCAGGGAGCGTTATCACAGATCCTTCTTCCCAGCAGCTGTAAGGCTTTATAACCATCACTGTTCCCAACAGCCTCAATAAGTTGTTACATTCATGCTGATTTAGCTGTTTCTGCCTTTGTCAGTTAAATAAAATGCTGCTGTCATTTTGCACATCTGATGTTGCTGCTATTTTCAAATATGTAAAAATGCCCATAGCTGTATATTGGTTATTTATTCTCCAGGTGCACAGTATTTATACTGTTAAAACACTTTACAGTGCAGTATTTTATTTGTTTATTTTTTTACTTTTCACTATTATGTTATTCTTATACATCTTGTAAGGTCCACATTGTGTGACCTATTTTTTTTCTTTTGGTGCTGTTGCTGCTGTAAACACCAGAATTTCCCCATTGTGGGACAATAAAGGGATTTTCTAGTCTATTCTATTCTTTTCTACAAAGCCTTCTATTGGTTACAATGGGTTTTATATTGGGGTTTAAGAAACCACGGTTCTTTCATTACATTTCTAAAAAAATATCTCAAGCAATCTGCATCATTTTACGTTCAGCTTGGATGTGTAATCCTTTTTTCCGTCTATCTCATAAAATCGCAATAAAATTCAGGAGAGTTTGGTTTGTAATAAACAGTTCAAGGGCTTAGAGAAAGTTCAGGTGGCGCCGTAAACCCTCTTAGTTGGGGGCGTATTGATGGAGACCAGAGCTTCCTAGTGGAATTTGTATTTTAATGTTTAACGTAAATCAAAGAGATAAAACGATAAACTCCCACAAACGTCTGTGTTGTGTGACGTGTAGGTGACGTTTTTCACTCGCCTGTGGCACAGCTGTGAGGAAGCTGCTCATGTCCCCTATGGTGTTTTTGAGCTCCAGAGGACTCTGCTCCACACTCAGTTTAAAAGCTTCATTGCTTCTGAACATGCACACATTGCCGGCTCTGCAACAAGGAATCGAGTGACACAAGACAGTTAAATTTGCTTAAAAATGGTTTACCCAACAGATGCACCCATGCAGTGAGCTGCACACATTTGAATGAACTTCTTCCATGTCTTAAAAACAAACACAGACTAACATACATACTCACAAGATAATGATTGTGATTGAAAATAAGCTGAAGTAGAGAGTTCTTCTGAGACAGTGGGTGGAGGATGTCTGCTTCTGCTGCATCTTCCCACCACAGTTACCACAGCATCGACAGCAAGCCACGAAGAAAGCTATTATAGGCATCAGGACAATGTAGAGAATCCCAATGGCGATACAAACAAGGAAACCCACTTCGTACACCAGGATCTAAGTGGAAGCCAAAAAAAAAAAAAAACCCACATAATAATCAGGTCTTTGTATGATGCCAGACAGCAGTGGCAGACATCGAAAAACAACTTTATCTTTAATGTTAAAACAGGTTACAACCATCAGAATAACAGAGCTTTAGCGGCTTCAGAGAAAAACCCCCGAAATGAATACATTGATAAATTAAGTTATGAGCAATAAACACACAAAGATAGAAGCTGGAAAAAGAAATAAAAGCTGAGAAACAAGCTAAAATCTTCTCAAATTTACGAAACAACCCTAAATTAAATGAGAAACGTAATGGTAGATGGTTTATCCCTAACAATGAAAAAAGGTTTCCGATCTCCAAGTTAACTAATAAGAAGCATCTCTGAATGAATAAGACTAAGACTGTTGCAACCTTACATGATGCAAAACATACGGACACTATTGCTTACAGAAGTATTTCCAAACTTTCACCTAATCCAGTGAGTAACATTAAGGCAATAATCTTGAAGCGGAAAGAACATAACTTAACCCTAAACCTGCCTTGAACAATCTTTGCCTCATAGGCTCAGTGGAGTTGTCTAAGAGCCAACGAAAGAGTTCAGCGTCCTCTTAAACTGGCAGGTTCTGTTGCTTTTTCAAGAAAACCATTAATCAGGAACTCAAGTACCATCCGTCATGGCCAACATAAACATCCACCGCTCAAGAAAAAAAGGGAACAAAAAAAAAACTCTTAAAGGAATTATACATTATAACCTGGTAAACATTTTTATTGGACATTAAAACTGTTTGGATTATTGCTCAGAGGGGCTGCGGAAAAAAAAATTACTTTACTTTCAGAAAATGTCATTCTTTACAGTGTATAACATAACCATTAATCGCTTACTAAATTAGTTGATTTCATCTGTGATCTCAGTAATTGATTAGTTACTGTGAATTGTTTCATGGAGAAAGGGGGGGGGGGGCTGTCAGAGGAAACTGAGTGGGTTTAGGCAGATAAAAGTTCTATAATGGTGAAAAACATGGAGAAGGCTGGCAGAGCAGCATGAGTCAAATACACACTTGAGATATTTATCTGATTCATGCATGCATTTAGTTAATCTGTTTGCATGTGGCAAATATAAAGTATGCTCTAATATAAACATGTGAATTATTTTCCAAGTATCATACATCAAACTCAAGAACATTTACTTACAGCTTTTGTCAGCTCTTGATTTGAGAACACCTCCCCAGGATTGTTGACTACTCGCAGGATTAAATCTAGGAAGAAACGTGAGAGAAAACTTTCTTTATTATCAAAGAACGCTGTTTTGCTGTTTCGTGCTGCTTCGTGTCATCTCTGTGTACAGTTCCTGGCCTCAGGGACAGCGTGTCCTGCCCTTTATAAAAGATTTTATAATTTTCACATTGTATGAGAGGAAATCTGACACCGACATCTTCTGGTAACTAGGAGACGGGTGGGCCTTCAGGAGATTACACAATAGAAAGCCTGTCATTTATGTTACCACTTAACCCTGTTATTGTGTACTTCATTCACATAAAAAGTCGTTTCTGGTAAGTGAGACGAAACGCTCAGGTGGTGATCAAACAAGCCTTTTATGCACCTTTTTTTTTTACAATATGAGTGACATCAAACAATGACCTCGCTATAAATACAATCCCTTATTCTTTTACGTCATGCTTTTATACATTTACAGCCTGAGGTGTTGGGATTTGTGCTGACTGAGGCACGCAGGCTTGAAAAACTCCTTCAATCATTACCTTTTTGGTCATAGAGAGATGAAAGAGTGTTAACTTTTATATTCGTAAAAAGGTTTTCTATATATCTTTAGGTGAGTTTTACTGAGTTTAGGTTAAAAAAAATCTTATTTAAAATCAATATCAAGTTGGAATAATAAGTTTAACAGAGGCTGCTTTATAGGTCAAGTTCAACAAATCACACAAGCATACAATTGTCTGCATGTTTGCTATAAGACAGGAGACAAATGATCTAAGGCAAGAAACCAAATACAGGTTAACGATTGACTGAGCAATTTGTGAGCGATTCTGTTTACTTAATGGTTGACCATTCCTAGGATGTTTATGTTCATGTTACCAAGTTCTTCACCCCATAGGTAAAGTTTGAATAGAAACTTTGCTCTATTGTTAAAGGCATCTATATGTGATTAAAATAGAAGACAGCAGCAGATTCACCTACCTGTAGGAAAAGGATGAGGCTGAACTGTGCCAAGAAAGGAACGAACAAAAGGCATCAGAAAGTCCGCATTGGAGTTCTTTTGGACCATGTTGTTGTATTGAGGCTGGGTGATGTTCTGAGCGGATTCCCCTGCTTGACATGTGAGCTGGGCAGAACCGGCCTGGACCAAGCTGAGGCCCAGCAGCAGCAGCAACATCGTCCCTTCAGAAGCACCGTTTGGCCATCTCCACATATTCCCACATAAGCACATGTTCTTTGGTTAAAGTGGGTCGGACGACTTTATCAGAAGAAGAGGAGGAAACAGTCCGAGTTTGATTAACTCATGGTGCAAGCTCTGTCTGAACGCACCTGGAAACAAGAAGAACTGACTGAATACAATGCTCCACTCAGACAAGAAAGCCGCCACAGTGATCAAAGAAGAAATTCATAGAAACCCACAGAGTGACTCAGACAATCACAAAGACAGGATTAAAGCGGTTCCCTAAAGTGTGGCAGTGGAAATAAAAGCTGTTGTCTATCAGAGTAATGACAATAAAATTTTAGAAAGGGAAATCATAGATGTTTAATGATTGTCTATTTGATTTCAGAAATAACTGTTCCCTTTTACAAACGTGTGGAGGATGTTGGCTTTTTACTGTATTGTTATATGAAAAAGTCAGGGAACTAACGTGACGTGAGCAACCTATGTGTTCAGAGTGTAAACAAGCATATCAGCTGCTGTTACCTGCATCAGTTTTGTTTATACCAAACCCTTCCTGTTCTGCAAGGCTCCAAAGATGGCCATATTCCATCTATCTGGGCATCTATTAACCCTTTAAATCCTGACACAGGAAATAACACCCAGACGTGCCTTTTTTTATATATATATCTATAGATATAGATATATATATATCTATATAGATATATATATCTATATCTATATAGATATAGATATATATATATAGATATATTGGCGGCCTTAAGCTTCTACTTGAACATATATAATTCAGTTCAGAAAAAAACAGAAAAAAAATCAGGTGTTGCTTCAAAAAATTATACAAATATATATATATATATAAAGATATATTTATATATATATATATATATATATATATATATATATATATATATATATATATATATATATATATATATATATATATATATATATATATATATATATATATATATATATATGTGTGTGTGTGTGTGTATGTATTAAAGATATATTAGTGCATTCTTCCTTTTAAAATCGTTCTAACTTATAAACTTAGTAAAACAAAGCTCAAGAAATTAACATTCTCTGTGAAACAAGGAGAATTTTTCAGAAATCTGCCTAAACATGTCATTTGATTATAGAAACAAATGGAGAAAAAAAACATCAAAGCAGTATACAAGAAAGCTGTAAAAATAAGATGAAGAAACAGTGTAAGGAGCAGCAGCAGGTAGAGTTTGTAGTTTCCAACTCACCTCTCTGAAGCCGAAAAGCAAAGTTCCACTAATGTCCACCTGATCCGGAGCTATTCAGAGGAGGGTGTGGGAGTTTTTTTTTCTGGGAAAGCCAATCTGGTACGGCCTGCGTCTAGTGGGAAGTTGTCTGTTTGCGGGGGAGAGCACAGTGTTGGCAATGAGGAGGGAGGGAGTGAGAGAGAAAAGGGGACTGAAAAAGAGAAGGAAAGGGAGGGTCCTAAATACACAATGGATAGAGAGAAAGAGATCAGGAGGTCTGACTGAGGAACACATAGGAAACATGACTGGCAAACTTCCCAGATCTTGGATTATGGTGTATGTACAAGGTTTGTTTAAGTGCTGCGTAAACCCTGACAGAAGTAAGAAATACAAACCCGCTGACCAAACCTGGTTCCAAACAGGGTCGATATTTGTTGCCTCACTACAAAAAAAGGAACAGATTAATTTTACAGTCAGAGGTGCATGCAAAGTGGGTAAATTTGCAACTGAGATGTGAGCACATAACAACGAGTGCAGCTTTATCTGTGCAGAATAAGATAGCTGAGGGAGTTACTGTTGGGTTTACTGGGATACAAAATATCTAAAGCAGGTCAAGAAACCCTGCCAGAAATATTTGGCACATTGGAAACAGCTGAAAAATGTTAACTAAAGTATCACATAGCTTTTTAGCACCCCTCTGCTGAAAAATGTTCCAGTAAGTAAACTGATGCCTATCTGTCTCAACAAAGCTCACATTAAAAGCTTCAAAACAGGAACTGGGACAGGACAGAACCTGTAGAGACATACCTTTCCAGAGATTATCTCTTCTTTTAATTATCGTTGGAGTTTAGAGGTAGATTTGAGTGCAAAGTTTACTCGGAAATAAAAAACTCTTAGGTTACAGGATCAACCGTTAAATAAATCTGTTTAAATCTATAGATTCTTCTAACTGCGGCTGATAGGAAAACAGTGACGGGATTATCTGTCTTCTTCTGTTTTCTTTGATCAGGTGCACACTAGCTAATCGCCCATAACTGGTTAACCTCAGCCTACTGTCATCAATTACAAGCTGATCCTTTAATCTGATGATCTTAAAGCTTTGGCACGTGATCATCACCACAACCCTATCGTGCATTAAATGAAGCTGTTCTCTGAAAATGTGCTTCATGGTCATTTTAGTATTATGGTCATAGCAAAATTGTCCTGCATACCATTTAAATATGGGTGGAAATTAATTCTAGTGTAATCTTACACTGAAAATTTGGGGGGGAAATCCTACAGTGTTGCAACTTTTATTGGTTAAAGAAAAGGGCGGTTAGGTAGGTTTGATGATAATAAATCTTCTTTCTGAATTTTTGGTTGTCACTTTCTCATTTTGTTATTCACCCTCAACACTTCCCTTCTTTCCTCTTTCCCTATTATCATGTGTTGACTCCTCTCTGTGTTTGTATCCTTACTTCACTTTCCTGCTGCCTTTCATCCTTCCTTCTTTCCTAGTGTCCTTTTTTTGGAGGCTTCATAATGAAAACCAAACAACCGCAGAATAATCTCTCATAAATCCAGCTGAATATGAGTTTGTTATTGTTTTTTAAGACAGGCACATGATTATCAGAAAAAGTAATGGGTTTTTTTTCCACATGAAACATATGTAGTAACCAAGTTATACTAAATATAACTAAATTAATTTTATCCTTATTTTAGTGCTGTAATAATATGAGCGGAGGAGTGATATTAACCTTTATCCAGGGTGAAATATTGAAAGAATGTCAGTTAATAAAGGGGAGATTTCTATACTTTATTGATGGAACTGCCAGTAACAGTAGCAAGGCAGTGGTATGTATTAGTTTTGGTTGTTGACCGGTAAAACATTGGAGCTGTGCAGGCTGTGAACTAACCAGATGCTTTCTGAATTTCACAAGACAGAGAACAGTTGGTTTGATTTCATTAAAGCAAAAATACCACTTGTTTTTCTGCATTAATCTTAATTTCCAACCAGAGCTACTAGCTCTCCACTCATTTACGGAAGGGAGATTCAGAGATTGTTTTCTGTAATAATGCTAACAGAACAATGCAGATGAGGAATTTGCCTTTTACTTGTCCTTTAAAAAAAGGTTATTAATGTTAAATCAACAACAGAAACAATGGCTGACACACCTGGGAATTCCTCAATTGCCATTGTTTGGAAGGGGTTTAGATCTAGACACCAGTTTTATTCACCCCAAATTTAACACAAATATATACCTAGATATATGGCACTTTAAATGTGTTTTATTCTAGAAACACTTAATGTCGAAACCTACCTTAAAGAAATGGTTGAAAAAAAAGTCACCAAAGCAACACCAGCAGGTAAAGCAGTCAAGTTTGGCGATATCCTCTTGCTTCTTTGGTAAATCTAGGACAGAAAAGCCCTTTTCCCTGTTCCCTGGACAGTTAATTTACAGTTAAGGTCAGGTATAATCAAACGGTTGTCATGGAGACCTAGTAACCCCACCCCCATAGTTAAACTTCTTTAGAAATCTACTGGCTGTGGGGATTTCTTTCCTTCTTTCTCTCCTTACTAATCTAACTCACATTTATCTGTAACCTTAATTAAAAGAATGTTTCATTGCATCATTTATTTTACTTATAAATAAGATGGAGTAGTAAAACCTGAGCCTGACTATTTTATACCCACTATATATTAAAGCATAACGTGATATTTGTGATAATTTCACAACATATGTAAAATCTACAAAAAAAGGGTATTTCTTATAAACAGAACCAATAAAAATATGGGGGAAATAGTTTTATCTATTTATTTAGATGTGAATTATTTGTTCAATCTGATATCTTGAAAATTGCGATTACATTTTTTTTTTTGGGGGGGGGGGGGTTGTCGGGTGAGACCATCTAAAATATTAAAAACTACACAACATAGAAACATCAAACCACTAATTACACTAATTTACAGAATATACAAAACAAAGACATCTTATTAAATGTTTTAGAAAAATGAAAATATTTAAAAGCATCTAATAGGTTTCTTGGACAAATAGTTGCACTATGACATATTTTCTTAAATGTAATTCGTGAAACTGAGAAGCTATAATAATCTAAGCCTCGTGAAGAGCTGCTAACATTTAGTCTTTGAGTCCTTCATGTTTTTACATTAAAGAAAAAGGATGCATCAGATATCAGATACATTTAAACTTTGAGCGCAGTGTCTTAAATTAAGGTACATACTAATCCAAACTACTTATAGCTTATGTTAAACAACTCTAATATTGATTTATTTTCATAAAGATATATAAATGTTAACAGTAGAACAGTAGAACAGTAAAGTCCTTCCCCATCATGGACAGCCCTAAAACCAATTATCAAAGGTGTTTTCAAGCTACAGGCTTTCGTTTCCACTTGTTAAGGGCTTGTAAATGTCTTTTAATCTTTCCTGTTGAAAAGTTGTATTAGAACAGATAATATTTTGTGGGCTAATTCCTAGATAACCCCAAGCTTTCATCGTACTCTTGATATCTTGATAGGATTGGTTCCTCTTGAACCACAGAAAAACAGAACAGCCTTGGCCTTTCTTTTAGCTGCAATCCTGAAGCTTCATCTTCTTAAGTACTGAAACCAATTTCATCATTTTTATCTGACTAGATATCAAAGGAAAACCTTGACTAACATCCATCTGTGGTTGTTTGTATAATTGAATTTCTTCAGTAACTGAAAGTTTGGTCAAACTAAATATAGACATCCCAAATTCCAAAAACTCATTTCAGGGACATGCCTGCATGTTTTCACTCGCATTAAAAAAACACCACCTCGCATAGTCTAAAATCCGGGATAATTTATACGACTTGCAGACATCCGTGAAAAACGATCTATATCAGGGAGTCTCCCGGAACTTCCAGGAGACTTGAGATGTCTGTCAATACTCTGTCTGTAGAGCCCTGCTTTAAACAAATAGTTGAAATTATGCTGTAAACATTTCATATTGACCTAAGTTGATCTATAGTGGTGGTTACAACGTTTCAGGTAGAACTTTACAAACTTGTCAAAACAGAAACTTGACATCCTTTTGCAACAACATTAGTTGCAGTAATTTTTTTTTCTCAAATTTCTCAACTGACCCACCCATGCTAAGTAATCATGCAAAGCAGACATGCAAACTTTTTAAAACTTACTTTGGTACAAAATCATCTCCATTCAATGAGGTATTATAGCTGGGCTGCTTTTGCACACCTCTCTTATACAGCATTTAAATATTCCTGCAGGAACTTAAAATCCTCTGCTCATAGTTCAGATCAAACAATCTCTTAATTTAGTGACACCATCAAGTCTGTGATGAAATAGTTCATTACAACTTGTAGTTAAAGTTCAAATGACTTGGCCGTGAAAAGTAACCACAACGTTAACAATTTATGTCTTTTACTATTACAAACCTAAAAGTATTTAAGACGGATCTGAAAAAGTATATCTGTCAATTATAGTACTTTTTTTTGGGGGGGGGGGGGGTTTACAAAGAAAAAGAAGAAAATCTGAAAAGTGTGGCTGATGTATTTAACCCCCAATTATGTTGCTGCTGCCTTCAGAGGTCTGAGGACAAAATCACAACTGTTATTCAGTGAAAATCCATTTTTATTGATAACATACAATTACTGACAGAAACCTGGCAAAGAAATATATAAAACCACCCCTTTGATGAGGTGCTACAAGAGCCAGCTACAGGTGCATTGCCTTATCTCTGCCTCACACATATTTCCCTTATTGTGTCAACCAATAAAGAGCACAGAGTGCTGGTAAAGTTGACCCTGGATTTAATTCCATGTCTGCCGCAGAACTGATACAGCACAAATAAAAGAAGCCAAGGAGGCACCGGGAGACGATGAAAAAGGATTTTAAACACGACAGCTTTTTGTGGATTTGTACAAGGTGATGGAGGAATTTGCCCAGCTGCTCAGTCTGCTGCTTTGAGGGACTCCTGGTGGAGAAACCATTGAATTACACCCCATCTATCGCTGCTGAGACCCTGCTGTGTACCTGCACTCTGATGAGTTTTAAACGCTTCAATATAATAACGCCATGGGTGGATTTTATCCCACGCAGATTATCCATTATGGGAAGCTGTGTGCTTAAAAATAACAAATGTATAAAGGTTTCAATAAATCTATTAACATTTTACTGAATGCCAAAACAGTGGCAGGAAAAAAGGGATTTCTGTACTTATTTACAAAGA